ATCCTTATATTCCGCTTGATGATACACTAACCACGGTCATTATTGGGATACTTCCTGGATTAGTAGTTGTATCATTTAATGGATTTAAGGAAAGCAAAAAAAAGTTTTGCTCCTTCATAAATATATTTGATGATGCTATTATATTTTTATCTATGCTTATATACCCTTCGATTATTATATTTCAACAATATATTTATTTTTCTTCTATTAACAAATTTTGGACATTAACTATTTCTTTGCTTTTTCTTATAATCTTCCTGATATCTTATTGTTTCTGTTCAAGATTGAAGAAAAATTCTAATTTTCTGTCTATGAAACTATTTGCTCATTTAGCCATCTTTTTTCTTAGCCTTTTGTTTCCTTCATTAGGAATTGTTAATTCTTTTTTAGATGACGGTTCACAAAATACTGCATTTATTTCTTTTAATCATGATAATATTAGTCAATATTGTGTTGACAATTATGATAAATTCTTTCCTGGCAGATGTATATTAGTAAATAAGCTATCTTATTCAATGCATATGTTTTTCATTGTAAGTTTTTTTGTATCAGTGATCTCTGTAATTCCTTTAGTTCTTTATCAATTTCTATGGCAAAAAATGCAATTGAAAAATTTAATTCGATTTTGCAAAAGATTTAAACTATTTTATATTATAGTTAAATATACAAATCGCCTTTTTATTCTTTTATTAGTTATTTTTCCAGCTATCTTAATTGGATATTTACTTAGCACCAATTCTATTACTACAAAATTATCGTTTGTAATTTGTAGTATATCTGTTTCCAGATTATTAGAACATTTTGGTGACGATCAACCTGAAAAAATTAACACACTGGCCTCTTTTTATATGAATTATGGCTTAAATATGTGCGTGGGAGATATTATACGAAGCAAAACAAAAAAGATCTTAAAGGATCTTATAAAAATTTTGATAGTAATAGCCGATCGAGTTGAATTTAAAACTGCAAAGAAAATAAATTATATAAAAAAATCAGTGGAAAAACAGTTAGAAATATTCAGAGGAAAATCTAAAGATATTGAAAATTTATCCAAAATACACGAAAGTATAAACAATGTAATATGTACATTAAATAGTCAGATGAAAAAATTGGAGAATGATGCAAAAAAACATATAAATTTTGGAAAAAATGAAGCGAATAATAATAATGATGATAAAAAATATGATCAAGAATTTTTTAAATTTATAAAAATGGACCAGGAGGAAGTGGTAATAGATGAAATTGATATAGAAGCAAACAGGTATGAAAATGATATAGAAGCAAACAGTCAAGATAGCGAAATGCTTGCAGAACAAGGAGATGACATAGGGCAAAATAAAGAATTTACAGAAGAATTTATTAAATACATAAAAAATCTACAAAATGAAGATGAAAAGAATGAGAATAAAAGGAATAAAGATAAAAAGAATGATGATGAAAAGAATGAGAATGAAAAGAATGAGAATAAATGGAA